GGGAAGGGGTCTGGACCTCCTGGGTCCACGCACCGACGAAAGTTGGAGCAGGCGGATGTCTGGGGCCTCCACGGGGCGTCCTCGTGGACACAACGCGCCCAGAGCTCCTGGCCCACGGCTCGATCTCAGACGCAGGCAGAGGTGCACGCCGCTCCGGGGAAGGCACCCTGATGGCAGCAGCGGTGACGAGGCGGGCCGAGGATCGGGAGGTCGGCTGGTGACAGGGGTGAGAGCACGGCCAGGAGCACCTTGGTGCATCTTTGTGCACGGGTTCGTGGCCGTCGGGGCCAGACGTGTAGCCCGCATTGAGTTTTGAGAGTGGATTCCCGAGTCAAGCGTGAGGACGTCTCCGGCGAAACGGCTGCCGAGCCGCCTCCAGGCAGCGGTCTCGGGCTCCCCGCTCCCCCCGTGGTCTCTTCTGTTTTTTTTGGGGGGCCACTCTTAGAACCTTCTGGCGGAGCGCAAGCAAAAACAAATGCAGCCTGGACAGGAGTGGGAGCACGGCCGTGTGTACTTTCGTGTATCTAGTAAGAAGGATCGTGGCCGCCCAGACCAAAACCGCAGCCGGCATTGAGGCGATGGCACGTTCTTGAGTCAATTGTGAGGCCATGGGCACCGCAGCGTGCTTCCCCATATCCTAAGATGGGGTTTTGTTATTACGTAGACTGCTCCGAGAATCTCTTCCTCGCCTGATTGACTCACTCATACTCAGACTCAGCCTGACTCACCTACACTCGGACTCATTCACAGTCATACTCACTCACGACGCTCAGACTCAATCAGACTCAGACTCAATCACACTTAGACTCACTCACTCTCGGACTCACTCGCTCTCAGGCTAATAACTCACCCTCATGCTCCTTTCAAACTCAGACTCAGTATCATTAATCTTCATTGATGATCCAATGCTCACCGCGATATAGCGGGCACAGCATTTGGGCACCCCAGGGAGGGGGCGCCAGGGGTGGGGACACTCCAGGATTCGTGCCCACATTGTGGGGATGCCCCAGGCGTTTTGCCTGTTTGCGTGCCCAACATCCTCTGCTTTCGAAGCAGACTGTGAGGATGTCTCCTCGGTTTGCCTGTTTCTGCCCCCTTTTCTTCTCTCTGTTAATTAAAGCTGTGCGCGGCCCCCTTAGCTTCGACCGGAAGAGGCTCGCTCTCGACCCGCGGATCAAAAAAGTTTCTGCCCCCAGGCTTTTGTTGTTCGGTGGTCCAAGGCTCATCGCGATATACCCGGCGTGGCCTTTGGGCACCCCAAGCAGGGGGCGCCAGGGGCGGGGATACTCTTGGATTCGCGCCCAGATTGTGGGGATGTCTTGCAATGCCGTGTTTAATACATGCTCCGCGTGCGGATCATGTATTAAGCATGTAGGGATTTAAAGTTAAAAACAACGATGAGTTCATGCATAATTTTATTCATACATTAATCATGTATGAACAATTCTTTAAACCCAATGTATTAAAAAACTGCCCTGTAGGCGGTTTGCCTGCTCGCCTGTCCAACACCCTCTGCTTTCAAAGCAAAGTGTGAGGATGTCTCAGGCGGCTTGCTTGTTTCTTGCCCCCCAGACTTTCTCTTTTGGTGGTCCAATGCTCACCGCGATGTAGCAGGCTTGGCATTTGGGCACCCCAAGGCGGAGCCGCCAGGGGTGGGGACACCCCACGGATCGCGTTCAGATTGTGGGGATGTCTCAGGCGGTTTGCAGGGTTCCGTCCCCTGGATTCTGTTATCCGTAAAGGCTTCACCCTCTGCCGCCGGCCCCCTTTCTATCATAATGGGATATATCAGAGTCGCGTCGGTGCGTCTCGGCGCTGCCTTGGCGCATCTGGGAGCATCATGCGGGGGCGGGTAGAAATCATCAGCGCATATTGAGACGTTGGCGTTATGCTAGTAGCTTCCGGCCCATCCCGCCACTGTGCCTGGATTGGGTTTGAGGCCTCTAATAGATGTGTTGGGGTGTCGTGGGGAGCCTCTCTGGGTCCTTTTGGAGGCGGTTTGGGCGCCTCTTGGGAACCACTTGGTGCCTCGTGGGGTATCTTTGGGGCCTCTTGGAGGTCTCTTGGGCGCGTCTTGGGCGCCTCTTGGGGCCTCTTGGGGTCTCTTGGCGGCCTCTAGGGGCCTCCTGGGGGCTTGGGGGGGCACAACTATGAGATTTTCGGTTTATTGTCCCCTGCTTTGGCCTCTCTTGGGGCCGTTTTGGGCCCCCTTTGGGCTATCTTGAATGCTTCTTGGGCCATCTTGGAGACATCTTGGGCAGTCTTGGGACTCTCTTGGAGTCCTCTTGGGCTGTCTTGGGGCGGTCTTTGGAGCTTCTTGAGCCGTCTTGGGGCGACGGAAAGCCGAAAATGCGAGAAGGCCAACATCCTTCAAATACATTCGTCAAATCGACCATGTTGGCCTCTGGGGGCTTTCTCGGGAGGCCTCTTGGAGCGCTCTTGGGGCCTCTTGGGGCCCTCTTGGGCCGTCTTGGAACCATCTTCGGGCGCCTTGGAGCATTCTTGGCTTCGGCAATGCGAGTACGGTGTAATTTGCGAAGGTTAATGGGCTCGGGGACGCGAATATCGTATACTTTACGAGGGTTTGTTGCTTCGGGCACGCAATAATTTTGAAACGTGGAGGTTTTATGGCCTCGGGCACGCGAACATCGTATAATTTACAGAAAGGATATTGGCTTCGGGGACGCGAGTATTGTTTACTTTACGACGGTTTATTGCCTCGGGGACGCAACAAGTGCGTAATTTACGAGGGTTTGTGGCCTCGGGGACGCGAGCATTGCGTGTGTTTTACCAAGGATTACTGCCTCGGGGGCGCGAGCCCCACGTAATTTGCAAGGGTTTATTGCGTCGGGGACGCAACAATTGTTTAATTCGAAAGGGTGAATGGCTTCGGGGGCGCGAATATCATGTAGGAGGGATTCTGGCCTCGAGGGCGCGAATCTCAGGTATTTTTACGTGTCCCACGCACCGCTGGGAATTCAACCAACGCGATCCGGGCGTGGTACATTGCCGGTTTGGGGCTCCCTCCCCCGCGCGATTTCAACAATTTACAGTCGAAAGCGAACAGCGGACTGTAACATTGGAGAACTGAATCTGAAACTGGTGCAGGAAGCAGCAGCCTCGTCCTACAGCCTGGTGTCCCCACAAGGGGGCCAGCGGATTTTGCGGTCCAATGCTCGCCGCGATATAGCAGGCGTCGTGGTATTTGGGCCCCCCAATGTGGAGCCTCGAGGGGTGGGGACACTCCAGGGTTCTCGTCCAGTTTGTAGGGATGCCTCTGGCGGTTTGCCTGTTTCTGCCCCCCCAGACTTTTTTTTTGGTGGTCCAATGCTTACCGCGATGTAGCAGGCGTGGCATTTGGGCACCCGGAGGCGGAGCCGCCAGGGGTGGGGACACTTCTGGATTCGCGCTCAGGTTGTGGGGATGTCTCAGGCGGTTTGCCTGTCCTGGCCCCCCCAGACTTTTCTTTGGACTTGTGTTTGTGTGCTCCTCACTCACGCACGCACGCACTCACTCACTCACTGTCTCACTCATTCACTCGCTCACTCACTCACTCACCTCCTTTCCCTTTTCCCCATTCGGACGCACTCATTCGCACTCGGACTTACTCATCAGCACCTCTTCCTCACTCAGACTCACTCATCACATTCAGACTCGCACATTTTCAGATTCGACCATATTCAGACTCACATGTATTTACTCGGTCATTTTCGGACGCGCTCAAACTTAGACGCACTCGCACCCAGACCAACTCACACTCAGACTCATACTCACACTCACCAGCCCTCAGACTCACTCATAATCAGACTACCTCGCACCCAGGCGCGCTCATACTCAGACTTGTACTCGTCACGCTCAAACTCAGACTCGGCCACACTCAGACTCACTCGCACCCAGACCCACTCGCACTCAGACTCGCTCACACTCAGACCCAGTCGTGCTCGTACCCGCTCGTACTCGCACTGCTTCTCTCACTCAGGCTCCATCGTGGCAGGATCCGCTCGCACTCCGACTCGCTCACACCAAGATCACCCACGCTCAGATTCCTTCGCACCAAGGCTTACTCCAGATTTCGTAATAAAGGGACGGGGGTCTCATTTCGGGGGGGGTCTCTTCCAGGCTATCTTGGAGGGCCTGGGGGGGTCTGGGGACGATGTTTTGGAGGGTTCTCCCACGGGGGAGGTCTGAAATGGCTTGTCTTGGAGGGTCCAGACCCCCTCCCTTCTATTACGAAATCTGAAGTACACACAAATCGTTCCCGCGATATAGCCGGCGGGCTCCCCACGTGCCATCAGGCGCCGCGAGCAGCGCGCTGGCGAGCGGGCGTAGAGAATCGCCGTGCGCGCTTGCCGGAGTTGCCGCGGGGAGGCAGGCGAGAGGAGCTCCCCCTCGCTCTTCCATTCGTGCTTCCTCGCTCCCCCTGAAAGATGAGGAGGAGGAGGAGGAGGAGGGAGGAGGAGGAGGAGAGGAGGAGGAGGAGGAGGAGGAGGAGGAGGAGGAGGAGGAGCAGGAGGAGGAGGAAGAGGAGGAGGAGGAGGGAGGAGGAGGAGGGGGAGGAGGAGGAGGAGAAGGAGGACGTCACGGAAGTCGTCGCTGTCGTCGTCATTGCCGCGCCTGTCGTCTACTTGGAGTCGCTCGCTCGTCCTGATACTCATAGACAGAGCTCCTCAGCGAAACGTGACAGGACGTGTGGGGATCTCCGCGTCGAGCCTTTTTTCACAAGGAGCTGCTGCCGTCCGGACCAAAACTGTGGCCGGCACTGAGGCGAGAGCGCGCCTCTCCTGAAGACAGTGGGAGGACGTCTCAGGCGAATCGGCCGCCAGCATCTGGCGGGCACGGGCTCTCCCTGCTCCCCCGCGTGGAGCTCCTCCGTGGTCCTTGGCCTGGCACCGGCGGGGCCGTCCGGCGAGCCGCCGTCGGAGCTCGGGGGTTCCAGGCCCTGGACGGGCCCGTACCCGTTCTCGCGCTGCGGGGCCGTGCCTCGGGAGCGGGGCCCGGGGGGCCTCCCGGGCCGCTCGATAGCCTTTCGGCAAGGGTATTGATCTGGACGCCCGAAATGGGTACTGAAAGAATGGGTACTATGCCCAACAGCGGATCTGGTTCATTTTGAACAAGATCCGCTGTCCACGCCGCCGCGGCTTGTGTCCATTCGAGACAGGAGGCCGCCCGCCCAACAGCGGCCGCTGTTGGTTTGAGACAACATTGGTTGTTGGGCATAGTGCCCATTCTTTCCGTATCCATTTCGGGCGTCCAAAATTGAGTCGGGGTGGGGCGATAGTGACAACGCCTCTGGTCACCGAGCGCGTTCCACGACTCGCGAAGCGCCTGCTCGCGAAGGTCTTAGAAAAGGCATGCCTTACCACCCTGCGTCGTGTATCGTATATCCCCCGCGGCTGATCCAGGCCATTTGCGAGCAGTAACTTTGCGAGTAGTGGAACGCGCTTGTCCATCTGGGGAGCTTGAGTCACCGATGCCCCCCGTGGGCCCTCTGGATGGTCTCTTCATCGACATCTCTGCGCCGCATGGGGCCTCGCATGGTGATCCTGGGGCCTTCGGGCGTTTTTCGCTCTCTCTCTCTCTCTCTTGGGCCGTTCGGGGAACTCTTGGAGCTGTTTTTGGGGGCAGGCTTCGAAGCCTCTGAGTGCCATCTTCGACCCATTCGGGGCACCACTGGGCCGTCTTGGGGCTCACTGGAGCTGTCTTGGGTGCCTCTTGATCGTCTTAGGGCCTCTTGGGGCTATCTTGCGACCCTGTTGGGCCATCTTGGGGCACTCTTGGGCCGTCAGCGACCTCTCTGGATACGCTTTTGGGCAGTCTTGAGGCCCTCTTCAATGTGAATTCTTCTGCCCACAGAGCCGCCCAGAACCATCTGGAACGCCCCAAAAAGCTCCACGCCGCGATGACACGTCCGAGAACGTCGATCCTCCATGGTCTTCGGCGACGACGGGAGAGTCACACTACTGTCGCAGCCCGCTGTATGGCGACGACTAGTGACTAGAGTAGCGATGGAGACGTTGCTGGCAGTGGTGGCGCTGGTGGCGATGGTGCCGGCGACAGCGGATGGGCGCTGCCTCGCTTCTATGGAGAAGGGGGCACGGGCCTCAGGAGCGAAAGAAGGACGTACATGTACATGAATCCACGCTGGTTTCGAGAGTACGCATTGCGCAACTGTTCGTAGAACGCGGCCGGTCTCGCGGATCGAGGGGCCGTGTTCATGTACACAGCTGGGCGCGCACGTCCTCTGTGGGCTCGCTAGACGACGGGGGAGGGATGGAGGGAGGGCGGGTGAGGCATGGACGAGGACTGTAAGGACGGGAAGGGCGGCGCAGGGGTGGAGGGTTCCGCAGGCTGCCTCGACTACCAGTGGGGTGGGGGCGGGCCTCGCGGCGAGGAGCCGCGGGCGGGGTCCCTGCTGCTGCCGTCCTCCTGCTGCCGCCTGCCGTGTTGCCACCATCGCCTCCCCCTCCTCCCCCTCTCCCCTCTCGCGCCTCCCCCTTCTGTCCCTCATCCCTCCCTCCTCCTCCGCCTCCTCCTCCGCCTCCTCCTCCTCCTCCTGCTCCTCCTCCTCCTCCTCCTCCTCCTCCTCCTCCTCCTCCTCCTCCTGGGGGGCCGATCCCAGCCCTGCCCAACTCTCCGCGCCGCCTGGTCCCTCGCGCTGGCCTGGCCGCAGCTGCAGACGGCGGCCTCCGGCGTCCCGAGGGCGGGCGCACTCCCCCTTCCCCCTGGGCGGTGGTGGCCTCCCTTCACGGATCGATGGCAGTGGATGCCAGGGCAATTCCCTCCCTTCTCCTTTGCCCCTCCTCCCTCCTCTCGGCTCTCTCCTCCTTCTCCTCCGCCTCCCCCTCCCCCTATCCCGCCCTTCCTCCGGGCGGCGTCGGAGGCGGTGGCGCCAGCGCAGCGGCAAAAGTGCATGCGATTGTGCTCGGGCAGACTGGCGCGGAGCCGGGGTCCGAAGCCTGCGGCTCTGTTCCCTTTAGGATTCGTTCCTGAGCGTCAGCTGGCCTTGGACGGAGTGTGCGGTCCAAGAGCCGAAGCAGACGAGTCCCGTCGGTGTAGCAGGTGCTCCCGAATCTTGGCCCCAGAGGCCCCTCGCTCCGCCCCAGCCAGAATCCGCTCACGGCCTGCCCCCGAACCCGACCCAGGGTCATCCTCGCCAGTGAGCCCCCCCCCCCAGTAGGCAAGCAAATTAGCCAGGCGCCCAGATGGCGCACAGCGGGGGGCGAGGAGGAGAGGAGGGAAGAGGGCAGCACAGCGCAGAAGCTGATCAGAACGCGTGTGGGAAAACGGGCGTAGACCGCTGCGGTTTCGGGTCCCAGAAAGGGCCCCCCACCTCCTCCTCCTCCTCCTCCTCCTCCTCCTCCTCCTCCTCCTCCTCCTCCTCCTCCTCTCCAGGAGGCCCAGGGAACTTTGAAGATGGAGAAGGCTTGATCCACCCTGGCCCCTCCTTGCAGTACGGCCCCCTCTCCATTGCCCCCTGCGGCGGGCGCAGCCCACCCGCCCGCGGCTCCGTGAACTCGAGCCGGTGCACTCCCCCACCGCCCCTCCACCCAGACAGTTCGTCTGCTCGTAGGAGCCGGTGCACTCCCCCACCGCTCCTCCACCCAGACAGTGCGTCTACTCGTGGGAGTGACCCTGCGCTGGAGTGACCTCCCGTGCTGGCCCACCGGGGGCTTCCCCTGACCGCCGAGTGCGGTGTGGCAGCGGCGGCCTGCGCGCTCGGGTGTATGGCTCCCGCGCGCCCCCGTGAAGCCGCGCGCCAAAGGTCACTCGTGCCTGGGGTCGTCTTTGCGTGCAGCTGAGCAGCTCCATCACGAGCGACATGCAAGTGGCGGCCGCTCCAAGGGGGGAGGGGGTGCGCTGGCCCCTCCTCTTCCTCCTGCGCCTTCTGCTCTCTCGCCCTCCTCCTCGGGCGCATGCCCATCTTTTTTCTTTCGTCGTCCTCGTCCCTGTCGTCGTCGTCCTCCTCCTCGGCCTGCTCTCGGCAGTGTGTTAGTGCTGGGCGCGCGGTGGTGTAATGGGGCCAGTGTCTCGGTCGCGCCAACTTCGGGGAGTTTCTGGGGCTTTGTTTGAGTCGGGCGTGTCCCTCTACAGGAGGAGTATGCAAAAATAGTAAAATGATACCGGAGGAAAAACCCAATCAGGGCTATAGGGCTAGGGGGCTATAGGGCTATAGGGCTATTGAGCTATAGGGGTATATAGAGCTGTAGGGCTAAAGAGCTGTAGGGCTATAGGGCCATTGGGCTATTGGGCTATAGGGACTATAGGGCTATAGGGCACCCCCGGGCACCCCCGGGCACGCCCGGGCACCCCCGGGCACGCCCGGGCACCCCCGGGCACGCCCGGGCACCCCCGGGCACGACCGGGCACCCGGGCACCCGGGCACCCGGCACTTGGGCACCCCGGCACCCCCTGGGCACCCGGGCGTGCAGCGAAAATCGGCGGCCAACCTTACCCCCAGGCACCCCTGGGCACCCGGGCACCCAGGCGTGCAGCGAAAATCGGCGGCGTACCCAACCTAACCATATGAATCCGCTAGGACCCCTACAGAGGCAAGCTCTGATTGGGGAAACATAGTCAAGGGACTACTTTTCGACAAGTTTTTTATGATTTGTAAGCGTTTTTCGGCCATATTTTTGATTGTTCGTTCAAAATTCGCCTGTAGGGGTACAGTCGGGGCCCTGAAGAAGGAACCCCTTTCGTTGGGGAGGGGCTCCGTGTTCCTTGATTGCTTCACAATTTGCCTCAGGCTTTCCTTATGTTTTCGACGGGAAATCGAAGGTTAACTTATGGAAAAGAGGGGCCTCGTTCCTTATTTAGGGTTCCTTAGGTCAACGCCCCTACTGTACATGCCCGACCTAAGGCTTTGTGGAGCTCGCCCCCCGCTGCTGCTCCTCCTCGCCCTCCAACTCGACGAGGACACGCTGTGGACTCCCAGCGGGGCAAGCTGCAGCTCGCCGAGGACGGCGTCCCCACGCCCACTTCCCTCCGCCGACCTCGTCGTCGGCGCCGTCCTCCTCCTCCTTCTCCTCCTCCTTCTCCTGCTCCTCCTCCTCCTCCTCCTCCTCCTCCTCCTCCTCCTCCTCCTCCTCCTCTCTGAGTGATCCGCTTTGCGCGAGTAGCTGCCGAGAGGCACTGTCGCCGGCGCCCGCCCCGAGTTGTAGGGGTGCCGAGGTTTCGGGTTGACGGGGAGACCCCCTTCAATCTCCAAAGCTCGTGGGGATTCCTAGCCAGTCGTGGATCTAACCGGGCCAACTGGCCGAACCGATTCCATCAGTCTAGCTGGGCCTAATTGGATGCAATCCGATCGGCTGGTGTCAGTTTTCGACATCAAGATGCATCGGGCGACGAAATCTATACATATCCACTGCTCCCTGACCATGCCCATCTTGAACCCAGGAGCTGTGTATGCGCCCTCCTGGCCAAGCCAGGAGGGCGTGGCGTATACACCGCTGCGGGGTTGAGGATGGGCCTGGCCTGGGAGCAGTGGATATGTATAGATTTCGTCGCCCTAGATGCAGTGAGCGATGCCTCCAGGTGGCGCCACAGTGTGCGCGATGTAGATCTGCATGCTGGATTTGCCAGAGTACGCGCCCATGGGCTCCCACAGCCCATGGCACGACGGAGGGAACGAGCCTTGCTTGGCCTAATCCCTTAGGGCTTGTCGACTTTTCGCCAATCGACTTGTGAGAATCGAACCAGATAAACCCAGGTACATGCAGATAAATCGAGGTAAATCCAGGTAAATCTAGATAAATCTTGGTAAATCCAGGTAAATCCAGAGATCTCCAGGGAAAGTTCGAGCACTTCGCGGCCGCTCCAGCGCGAGTCGAAGGACGGCAGAAGTCGTTAAGCCTTTAACGACCTAACCTAAACTAACTCAACCTCCCCTCGTCGGCGCCGCCGTCTTCGCTGTCGTGCTCGTCGTCGTCTTTGTTGCCGAAGTCCGCGGGGCGGACAGACCGTCCGACGGCCCCCTCGCTGTTTTTGAGACTGCGGTCGG